CCTCTATTCAACACCATTCTCAGTGCTAAAAGGTCACTGAGTGCCAAATCAACAATGACTAATAATGGAACATTCTAGAATAAGCATTTTGTTACCTTAAAATCTCCGTGATGGACCATGTAGAGTGGCTTAAAAAAAAGCGCAGGGTTTGGTATTAATACCCACGGCTTCCACAGACTAATGATAGAAAACAGAAAGAAGACAAAGACATTTATTTATTTTATGAGCAGGGCTGATTCAATGTCATAAAGTACACTCATTGTAAGGAAAATATTGAAGCTGCCATTGCTGCTCCCCTTCTAAAAATACACGTGCCCTGTTTATGGGTTTAATGTTTCGGAGTCACTGATCATAATAAACATGCTGCAAATGAAAGTCAAAGAAAAGTCAACATTCATCATCCCTTTCAGTGGCGTCACAAGGGGGGTGCAGGGGGTGCGGCCCGTACCCGGGTGACACCATTGGAGGGGTGACACCAAAATGACTGACAGTTATTTTGGTGTCACCACCTCTAAAAAGTCGGGCACTCGGTCATGGACCGAGAGCCCGACAGTGTCAGGAGACAGGAAGGGACCTGTCGGCATACCTCATCCCGCCGGGTGAACGCCCCCTTCTCTCCCTGCTGGCGTCCATCACAAAGATGGCCGCCGGCAGGTGTCAATTAGACGCATGCACGATGATATCACTGCGAGTAACACCAGGCCTAGGGATGCCCCTGATCCCTTTACAGTACTTTATCTGAATGGCTGACTCCGAAACTATTGAACCATAACTGCCAGGCTTATAGTATTTTTTTATAAAGAAATCAACAATAGTAGGTCATATATCTTTTTTAGTACATATCTGTAAAAAATAAATCAAGGCAACTGGACTTGCTGTATTTTTCTTCAAGCCGTTTCACTGGTCATCCGTTTACTGTTTAAAGCCCATTCCGTGTGCACCTTACTGTAAAGCTGGTGACGAATTGATGAGTGCGTTTCTCATCTGTTTTGCTTGACTGTTTTGGTGCAGTGATGCATTGGGGGGTCTCAGCTACCATTGGGATGTGCGGGATCCCTTGTGCGTCTCTGTGCCTTTAAGGGGGTTGGGCTTCCTCCTGACAAACCTGCACCCAATTTTATCTTCTGCCCCCATGTGCTCCAAGATGGAGGCTCTGATAGTTTAGAGTTAGGACCGCACTATAAGAGGTGCCTTGGCGCAGCTGTGCGGCTTTCACATTTTCTGCAGAAGACGTGTATCCAAACCTCTGTTTTTAACCTTAGCGGTGAGACAAGTTTTTTTTACATGCTGGCTTGTGAGTGTGCCAGGAAAACTTTTTGCTATTTCACTTGTCATCTGACTAGCTTTCTCAATTCAGAAAGAGAAAGCTAGTCGGATGACCAGCAAAACATCTTCAAGACAAATACAGCAAGTCCAGTTGCCCTGATTTATTTCAAACAGATATACTATGACCTGGATGAATGAAAACCTACACAAACAAATCTTTTAGTACATGTTTCCTTTAATATATCATTTTCATCTAAAATCTCATGTTAATGTAATCTCAAAAGTTGTTTTCAATCTTTTTGAATCTATAGCTTTATTAAAATTATACCTAGTGATCCTCCCTTCAAGGTCCTTGTGCAGGCACTTCCTGTTAGATGGTGACAACACTCTGTACCTGACTCCCAATTGCACTCCTGCGTTGCTACCCTGTCACATGTGCCCCTTATTGAGATTAGAAGCAGCTGTGCCAACATACGCATCAAGTGCAGTTATGGTTTACCGTTGTCACTACCAGTAAACCGTTCCAAAGCCATTATACACAGCCAACAATGAAGTGAGTGCACACAGACAGGAAGTGGCAGAAAGAGGTTTGGAGGAGATCAGCAGCACTGAGATGCAAAAAAGGATTTAAAAAAAAGATAAAAACAGTATTATTAAATAAAAAATAAACAAACAAACAATTATTTATGATACACAAACTAAATGTCATACAGTTAGGTTTAACAAAATATTAAAATTAAAAGGAGAACTATGAGGTGAGTGAAAACCACTCAGCCTCATAGTGTGACAATGAAAATGTCCCGCGTCGACTCAATAGATCGAGAAGTGAGCGAACGCATACCGTCACTCGATCATGTCCCTGCAGAGAGCGGTGACTCTCAGTCACGGCTCCCTGCGGGGATTCCCCCCCCCCCCATCCACAATAACCAACCACATTGCAATTGCAGACATCCCAACTCTCCCGTACTAGATAGCGGCCCCCGGCCGCCCGGGAGAGAAACATTTTCTCCCAGAACGGTTTACTCTGCTCAGTCTAGCAGAGTAAAACTTTCCCTGCGATCTGTTTTTTTTTTTTGACATCGGGGCCGCTGGCCGCCATCAGTCATAGAAAAAAAAAAGCCAGCATAGGAGAGCATAGCTAGATTCCTATTGGCTATTTCACTTTGCAATAGGCAATAGCAGACTAGCTATTGCACCTGCCCATTGCTGCTGTCAATCAGCAGAGGGGAACCTAAAGTTCTCCATCAGGTCCTCTTCTAATGATTGACAGCAGCAGAGGGTGGGTGCAATAGCCAGCTTGCTATTGGATATTGGAAATTGAAATAGCCAATAGCAATCTAGCTATTCATTCCTATGCTGTTTTAAAAAAAAAAAATATTCTGACGGCAGCAGCTGTCAGAGTACTAAAACAAACAAAAAACGGCAGATAGCAAAGAAGCTATTCATTCCCTTGCTATCTGCCATCATTTCATTCAGGGGCAGAGGGCACCTCCCTGAAATAGCTTTTTTTTAGGTTGGGATCCCTGCAATTGCTATTTTCTACAGCGTAGTAGAAGATAAAAGCAATGCAGACATTTGCTATAGACAACACAGAAAAGGTCTAATTATTATTATAATACAGGGTTTATATAGCGCCAACAGTTTGCGCAGCGCTTTACAATATCAGGAAGACATTACAGTTGCCATACAATTCAAGACGGTTAGGAGGGCAAACTCCAGTCCTCCAGCTGTGGTCAAACTACAAATCTCATCATGAATCTACCTCTGGGAGTCATGCCTGTGGCAATCAGAGCCTTGCAATATTTAATGGGATTTGTAGTCCCACAGCAGCTGGGGCAGCTTTGCCTACCCCTGGTTTAATGTAATGTATTTTCCCCCCATCAACTGCATTTATGGTCCAATACCAACAATTAAAACTCTGTGAGGCTGCATAAACATGTAGTATAAAACAAGTGTATAGCCCACGGGGTACGCAGCTGTTTTGGAGCTACAAGTCCCAGCATTGCAAGTCTAACATTCACAGGCATGTCTCCCAGAGATAGAAACATGATGGGATTGGTAGTTTCACCATAGCTAGAGTGCTGATGTTCCCTACCCTTGGTATAGCCAGATCACTAAAAGACCATTTACACTAGTAAATCTTTTAGGGTTGAACAAAAACAATTTCCTGTATCCATGCTAAACAGCATAGGTAGAGGAATATCCCTCTGTGGCTGTTGCATTCTCACAGCTGCTGTCAAAATACAAACAGTGATTGGCTGTAGTCACTGTCTAGCCGAGAAATTCTGACCCGTTTTGTCCTTCAAATTTCAGACCGAAGAATGTCGGGGGGAGGCTACCTTCAGGGCAGGTTCACACCATTTTTCAGACCAGATCGGGTCTGGAAAATGGTGTGAACAGGCCCACAGTTCCAGTGCATTCCAGACCAGAAAAAAATGATTTCCTGGTCTGGAATAGACTGTGCTCTATTCCAGACCAGGAAATCATTTTGCTCTATTCCAGACCAGGAAATAATTTTTTTCTGGTCTCGAATGCACTGGAACTGTGGGCCTGTTCACACCATTTTCCAGACCCAATCTGGTGTGAACAGAGGCCAGAAATAGCATAGGGATACATTAGGATGCATTTTGGGTCCGGAAACAATCTGGCCTGGTCTTGTCAGGAGATGACCTGGATGTGGTATGAACCTGCCCTCAGGGCCACCCACTGAGCACATTTCAACCAGTTCTTTTAGAACCATCCAAAATTAATTCTGTGTATGGCCAGCTTAGAGGAGAACTATGAGGTGAGTGCTTTTCACTCACACTCCTAGTTCTAGCCGACCTGTGACAATGAAACTGTCACAGGTCAGCTCAAGAGATCGGGAAGTGAGCGAACACATACCGGCGTTCGCTCACTTCTCGAAGAGAGCAGAGAGCCGTGACAGGGGAAGGACTGGATTCCCCCCTCCCCGCTCCGATCCTCCAGCACTGACTGGCGGAACGGATGGGGGAGGGGGCGGGTACAACTGACTCTGCCTCTAGATAGGCAGAGCCAGCTGTCACTCACGCAGCTGGGCGGATCCAGACATAATTGCCGGGATCCGCTTCAGCTGTGGCGTCTCAGTATACCGCGAGCTGTAGCTCGCGGTATACTGAGCTTATGGTGAAAGGAGGACGCTAGTTTGTGTCCTCCCGTTACCCTAAGGAGAACTATGGAGAAAATCCTTAACCTCATAGTTCTCCTTTAATTCTTGCATTTTCAGAATAACATTTGATATGATAATATAATAAAGGTAGGCTGACGTCCCCTGAACTTTGACTGCACTGGTCTGTGGCTCGTGGCCTTTCCATGAGTCAGAGTCTGAATATGTACACTATTACTTCTTTCAGTTTTAAAAAGTAAAACCTAATGCATGATGAGTAACCTCATAGGCTTATTTTATCAGGCGTGTGCTATACGTAACATATAAAGCCCAGGAAATGAGGAAGTTAGAGCCTCACTTTTTACAGATCATGTGATTTCTTGCATATGCTGTGCGTAGATCCAATTATAGTATCATCACAGAATGAGCAAAGCAGCAAACCTCAGAACACTAGCAGGTTGACGTCACGCTAACCTTTGCACCCACCCTATGCATCATCTCACGCCTACAGACCTCCTCTATTCAACACCATTCTCAGTGCTAAAAGGTCACTGAGTGCCAAATCAACAATGACTAATAATGGAACATTCTAGAATAAGCATTTTGTTACCTTAAAATCTCCGTGATGGACCATGTAGAGTGGCTTAAAAAAAAGCGCAGGGTTTGGTATTAATACCCACGGCTTCCACAGACTAATGATAGAAAACAGAAAGAAGACAAAGACATTTATTTATTTTATGAGCAGGGCTGATTCAATGTCATAAAGTACACTCATTGTAAGGAAAATATTGAAGCTGCCATTGCTGCTCCCCTTCTAAAAATACACGTGCCCTGTTTATGGGTTTAATGTTTCGGAGTCACTGATCATAATAAACATGCTGCAAATGAAAGTCAAAGAAAAGTCAACATTCATCATCCCTTTCAGTGGCGTCACAAGGGGGGTGCAGGGGGTGCGGCCCGTACCCGGGTGACACCATTGGAGGGGTGACACCAAAATGACTGACAGTTATTTTGGTGTCACCACCTCTAAAAAGTCGGGCACTCGGTCATGGACCGAGAGCCCGACAGTGTCAGGAGACAGGAAGGGACCTGTCGGCATACCTCATCCCGCCGGGTGAACGCCCCCTTCTCTCCCTGCTGGCGTCCATCACAAAGATGGCCGCCGGCAGGTGTCAATTAGACGCATGCACGATGATATCACTGCGAGTAACACCAGGCCTAGGGATGCCCCTGATCCCTTTACAGTACTTTATCTGAATGGCTGACTCCGAAACTATTGAACCATAACTGCCAGGCTTATAGTATTTTTTTATAAAGAAATCAACAATAGTAGGTCATATATCTTTTTTAGTACATATCTGTAAAAAATAAATCAAGGCAACTGGACTTGCTGTATTTTTCTTCAAGCCGTTTCACTGGTCATCCGTTTACTGTTTAAAGCCCATTCCGTGTGCACCTTACTGTAAAGCTGGTGACGAATTGATGAGTGCGTTTCTCATCTGTTTTGCTTGACTGTTTTGGTGCAGTGATGCATTGGGGGGTCTCAGCTACCATTGGGATGTGCGGGATCCCTTGTGCGTCTCTGTGCCTTTAAGGGGGTTGGGCTTCCTCCTGACAAACCTGCACCCAATTTTATCTTCTGCCCCCATGTGCTCCAAGATGGAGGCTCTGATAGTTTAGAGTTAGGACCGCACTATAAGAGGTGCCTTGGCGCAGCTGTGCGGCTTTCACATTTTCTGCAGAAGACGTGTATCCAAACCTCTGTTTTTAACCTTAGCGGTGAGACAAGTTTTTTTTACATGCTGGCTTGTGAGTGTGCCAGGAAAACTTTTTGCTATTTCACTTGTCATCTGACTAGCTTTCTCAATTCAGAAAGAGAAAGCTAGTCGGATGACCAGCAAAACATCTTCAAGACAAATACAGCAAGTCCAGTTGCCCTGATTTATTTCAAACAGATATACTATGACCTGGATGAATGAAAACCTACACAAACAAATCTTTTAGTACATGTTTCCTTTAATATATCATTTTCATCTAAAATCTCATGTTAATGTAATCTCAAAAGTTGTTTTCAATCTTTTTGAATCTATAGCTTTATTAAAATTATACCTAGTGATCCTCCCTTCAAGGTCCTTGTGCAGGCACTTCCTGTTAGATGGTGACAACACTCTGTACCTGACTCCCAATTGCACTCCTGCGTTGCTACCCTGTCACATGTGCCCCTTATTGAGATTAGAAGCAGCTGTGCCAACATACGCATCAAGTGCAGTTATGGTTTACCGTTGTCACTACCAGTAAACCGTTCCAAAGCCATTATACACAGCCAACAATGAAGTGAGTGCACACAGACAGGAAGTGGCAGAAAGAGGTTTGGAGGAGATCAGCAGCACTGAGATGCAAAAAAGGATTTAAAAAAAAGATAAAAACAGTATTATTAAATAAAAAATAAACAAACAAACAATTATTTATGATACACAAACTAAATGTCATACAGTTAGGTTTAACAAAATATTAAAATTAAAAGGAGAACTATGAGGTGAGTGAAAACCACTCAGCCTCATAGTGTGACAATGAAAATGTCCCGCGTCGACTCAATAGATCGAGAAGTGAGCGAACGCATACCGTCACTCGATCATGTCCCTGCAGAGAGCAACTTAGGAGAACTATGGGTAAAAACACTTACCCCATAGTTCTCTTTTAAAGTATCGGCAGCCAGGCATAGGCCAGACGTGGCAGGCCCTGTATTTGCCCCAAGACAAACTTATATTACAAGCTAGAGTTAACTTCCTTACCTACTTCTAGTGTGCCTTTCACATATGAATATAAACATTGGTGGATACACCATTCTTAAAATCTTCCCAATTGTACTATTAATAAGAAATGCATTCATTAAACTACCCCTGTCATGATAGGAGCTGCCATTGTTCACCTCCTTTTAAAAATGTTGGTGATCTGGCTGTGTCTGGATTTGTAATACTTCCGAATCACAGACCAAGGACAAAATTGCAGCAAATGGAATCAAATAAAAAATCTGAAGTCTTTTTCTCATTCCTGTTTTGGATCAGTGACTAAGAATGTAAGGAACCCAACTGATTATCACTGACAGCCAGGCAACTATCACATAAACAGTATATCCTGTCCTACAGGATTCCATAAATAATAATTATATGGGAGATGCCATATGTCAGGGGCATAGGAGAAGTACGATGGAGGCTAGGTGGTCAGGACTAAGGAGAACCCTCCCTTCCTCTAATCATCTTGGCTGTACCATATAAGGTCCATATATACTGTAAATAATCTCATGCAACAAGGACCGTGGCATAGGATTATGTCCATTAGTACGGGCAACAAAGTGAGGTAACACTATAACTTCTGGTCTGGCCAAAAAAGACAAAAGCAAATGGAGTACAGAATAGTGAAATATGAGAAGAAACAAACACAACTGGTAACTCCATTTACAGATATAACATACCATACTGGTCCTATTGGTTCAAGTTGCATACAAACTCTGGCCAGCTAACACCACAACTAAAGGGTTATACTTTTATTACTGAGATGGGGCTCTATAGGGCCACACCAAGGGTCTACTACAGTATGCAATGTTATTATGCAATTAAACTACTTACTATATGTAGTGCTATGTCGCTAATAAATTTAGTAAATATATATCTGGACTGTAATCAGTCTGGATGCTGATTTCTCTGAGTTCCGCAGGATACCCTGAGTCTGGTGGATTGTTTCCCCCTGTTGTTGGATTGGGGCCTCAGTATACAGTGAGGGAGGATTTATCCTCAGACTGTGAATATGCATCTGACTCTGACCAATCCCTGGGCAGGCTCACTCAGAGGTATGGCTGGAGGAAGGCGATAAATGTTTGGGGACACCTTCCAGAACTCTCTCCCCTGGGAGGAGGTCTGCGTACTACAGGATGCCTGGTTTAGGCCTCAGCATGTGGCAGATGCTGGGGGCCCAGAGACCTAAAATGCTACTGAAAAGGAACCTGATGAAAGCTGGGCTGGATGTGCTTATTGAAGAGTGTCGCAGAGCAGCTGGTGAGAGAGCTACCTTCTGGAGGTGAGAGATCCCTAACCCTACACTCAGGTACTATACAGAAGAGAAGCCAGTTGGTGCACTACAAGTCCTGTGACAGCTCTCTCTCAAAGTCCTGGACTATTCCTGGCTGTTCTCTGATGCTACTACATATTGCTGGTCGCTCATACAGGACCGTTGTACTACTGATACAAGCTGTTGCTAAGAGTGAAGACACAGTCCTCTATTTTTTATGACTCGGTATCCTGCAACCCTAACCCTCTCTCCTAGTTGATACTATGCAATAAATGCTAAAAAGAACCTACAACTTGAACCTGTTCTGTTCTGGAGTTTCGATGTTGCTGGAGCTGAGAAGAAGGGCTGTTGGCTGGCAAAACAGGTAGAAGAACCTAGTTCATATCCAGCGGCTCCTTCGGGGGTGAGCGCTACATATTTACTGCATTTAGTAGCAGGCTTTCAGATGCCCACATGGTTTTAGATGCAGCATGATTAACCTTATAATAATCATTTAATTATACCATATGTAGACTGGATATTTATATATTTGTCACATCACTTCTGGATCACCAAAGCCTCTTGATAAACAATCCAGAACAATTCTGAATACTTGGTGCTGTTGAAATCACACCTAAAATATCACAAAACTTGGAAAAATATCTTACCACTTTGGCCATTTAAAGACGTAAAGAAGAACTACCAGAGCTATAGAAATTATCGCCATTGTACAAATGAGCCAGATTTGCCGGGAATTTTCTGAAATGTAAAAAAAAATAAAAAATTTTAGGGTTTAAAGAAAAGCTCAAAACAAATACATAAATATACCATTTATTTCACTCATATACCTTTTCAAAGGTCAAAAAATATGTTTTTCATATTCCAGTCCCATAATTACTTGAATGTTTTATTATACTGAGTGGACACATGCCAACTCAAATCAAGAAATCAGCTGAAATGTAAGATGATGGATGCAGCAGAGAAAACAAGTGGTTGGATTTACAGGAGAGACATAGTTCAGGATGGGTCTCGACTTCTGCCCTTACTAATCCAATAGTCCACTGGGAGCCTCTGTGGCCAATAGATAATCTCATATCAGACTATTAAACTATGAGAGTCGTAGCTAAACTAGTGTAGGATTTATATACATGCTTGCAGTCACCACAAGGTCCCTACCTTTTGAAATTGTTTGATCACACGACAAGTTCACTTTCAGATAAATAGTGCATTGTTCTGACTGTAACGTGGTTGAACTATTTCTTGCATTATCAAAACACAGAGGGGGTTATTCACAAAAAGGTGAAGAGTTTGGAGAAGGCAGGAGAAGTGAACAATCTAATCCAAAATAGCTGATTTGGAAAAAGTCTCCAATTCAGCTCACCTTCCAGTACAGCTATGTTGTCCTAGATTGTTCCCTTCTCCTGCCTTCTCCAAACTCTTCACCCTTTTGTGAATAATCCTGTGAATGATTTGATGCCCAAAGATGCACTTTAAGCTACAACCAGCTCTGCCTAGTATACTGTGTATGTGTATTACATGTTACCAGTGCTGAGGTATTACCATCAGCTGGGGTTCTCCATGACTCTGGTGAAGGATTATCATCTGCTGGGGTTCTCCATGACACTGGTGTACTCCAGCTACCCCAATGGCCACTATACATGGATGTGTTCTTCGGTCGAGCCCGGACCCTGGCAACATACATTTCTTCAGCTTTGAATAGTGATCCCAGGAGGACCAAACTTTTCTCATCTTCATAAAGTTGAATAGTCTTCTGGTTCTATGAAAACACATGACAAGGGTATTTTCAGAGGGACCCCTTACTACTGTGACCTCCCCCACAACCCATTCTACTCAATAAGGCACTCCAGACTTGTATGGATTTCCAAAGGCCACAGCAGCCACTTGTATCTTTAATAACAATATCAAAAATAAATACAAAATTGAATACAAAAATAACCCCAATATATACTCATAACCAATTAACACAGTTATCCAGTTCAACCCAGGTTTCCGAATCCCTGAAGGCGCTTAAAATAACCATAATGCCGTCCCATACCTGTATCTGCGGCTTCAGATTACTAATAATAGGGCCCCCAGCCGCAAACCACCGCCTCGGGGACCAATATCTGTTAACCGCAGACACTTCACAGGCCAAAACTAAGTGGTCAAACCAACTGGCCACCACTTAAAGGACACCACACCTATGATGGGTCACCAATCCTTGTCAATAAACCCACTGGCATCCATAACGCCTTCAAGGACCCCAAACCGCAACAGACTGCCATGACAAGATGAACCCCCAAAACCCCACTAAACAGAACAGAACAAAGCAATACAAAAAAATAAACAACAAAAGCAAAAAACCACCGTCAGGGCGGGCAGGTGGGTAATTCCTCGTCTGACTCCCAGTGTCTTCTCTTCTGGAATGATCCTAGGATCCATGTGCAGCCCTCCTCTCAATGGTCCTCCTCCAAACTGGTAAGCCACCCCTTCTCCCTGTTTTTCTGTATTTTTTAACCCTTTATTCCTCTGACTCCCCTTCTCCCCTGTCATGTTGACATTCTGCCCAATTCCCTCCTTTTCTTGCTCTCCATGTCTCTCTATAATAGAAAAATTGCTATGCGACCACTTCTCAACCACAGATAACGTCACTGTATGCAAATCCTCTTACCAGCCATGATTCAGCATCCTTCTTATAGCTCAACTCATAGGCCAGCTCATTACTTCTATATATATCCATGTCATAGAGTGTTCTCCAGGAAATATTGTAATTCTCAGAAAGAGAGACGGTGAGATTGAATGGTGCCTGTGGTTTAACTGTTAGTTAATGAAGGTAACAGAATTAAAATATGAATGCTGATCTCCAAACAGCTTAATACACAATTAAAATACATATTTGGGGAGCTGAACTCTGGGCATGAAAGATAAACACAGTTTTCCCCACCCACTACTAGGGATTCTGTTGTTTTGTTTTTTAACCACTTCATGACAGAAGCCTTTTTTTTCTTCATTTTTTTGCACCAATGGTACAATCCACATTTTAGGCCTGAAAATTACTTCAAACGCCCAAACATGATATATTTTCTGAAAGCCAAGACCCTGTACAATAAAATAGTGGTAGATGCTAATTTTTATGTTGCATGATATTAGCGCAACTTATTATCAAACCCAAACATTTAGTGAAAAATGCACTTAAGTTAAATTTAGTGCCCCAAAACACAATAAAATACCTATTTTTTAAAATAAAATATAAAAGATGAGGTTACAACGAGTAAATAGATACTCCACGTGCCCGAGTAAAAAATTGTGTGCGTCTTGAAACGGCGACGAAATTCAGTACCCCAAAAAGTCCATACATGATGATTTAAAAGCCCCTACAGGTCATCAGTTTTGAGATATGCATAAATATTGGACCTGGAATTATTGCTCTCACTCTGGCGTGCGTGGTGATACCCAAAATGTATATCGTGTTCGTTGTTTTCATACGTAGGTGCACCTACGTGCAGGGGACTTACATTTTTTTTTTTACTTGACTTTAATTGCTATCACATAGGGGGGCTTACAATCCCCCATTTGATAGCAGATTGGTGATGACAGGTACTCTTCAAGGTGATGCTGGGGGTCCAAAAGACCCCTAGTATCACCTTTACACTGTAAATAAGCTATTGAAGTGCAGATCGCACTTCAATAGCTTATAGCTGGGCTTCAGGAGCAATGGCAGCTATGGGACCGGCAGTGATGCAATAGGCGCCGCTCCCGGTCCCATAGTACGGGAAGGAAATCGATGAACGGATGTTCACCGATCTCCTCCTCAGCTTCTGGCCCGGAGATGCCATCTAGCGACAGCTGAGTCACCAGATGTAACCAGTCAAAAAGTCACTCGCACTCTGTAGCAAATAACGGTCAATATCTCCATCATAAATACAGCAATGTTTCGGAAGCAAGCGGTCCCTTCTTCAGGCAAACGAAGAGCATTTAGTTTGCTTTTAATTTGCCTGAAGAAGGGACCGCTTGGTTCCGAAACGTTGCTGTATTTATGTGACATCACGATGGTTAATAAAGGAGATTGACCGTTATTTGCTACAGAGTGCGAGCGACTTTTTGGCTTGTTACATTTGGTGTGCGGAGGCATCCGCAGTCACTTCCAGCGCCCCCCAACTTTACATGTGGGCTTGATCCGGTCAGGAGTGCCATGGGACTCACTACATTTTGAGCTGAGTCGCCAGAATCGCTTCTATTGTAAAGCCAACAGTTGGCTTTACAAATGTAAACAGAGTCTGTTTAAACGGGCCCGGTGCCAGTGACGTACTATGGATGTCAGTGGTCACTAAGGGGTTAAACGGTATGTAAACCCAAAATCTATGTTAAAGCAGAGCTCCTACTTATAAACACATCTCATCCCCTCCTCCTCTTTTCCAGTCACAGAATGCTAACTTAATGTACCTAACTACGTACGTATAAGAATATGCTGGCTACCTTGGACTTGACTCTTTTTCATAAGGCTGTATGAGAGTTGTGCTGCCTGTGTATGTACCTGAATGTGTTATTAATCAAGAATTTAAGGAAGAACTCCTAGCAAACAAAAGACTCAATTCTGATGAAACAGAGGGTATATTGACCATCCAGCCAGTGGCAACCAGCACTGACATGGAGAGGAGTGAAGCTGCTTCTACTGGGCCCACTTTAAAGAAGGAGTGTTTACCCTATGGAGAAACACGATTAAAGAATGACTATAGAATTATTTTGCCTCAATGCATGAACATTACTTAATAGTTAAAGGCTTTCATGCTGTTTATACTGGACATTAATGATAAAGCAATGTTGGTGCACATTTTGAATTGGGGACCATAGGACTTTAGATATGCCTCTGCCAAATAGCTACGGCAAGAATAAATTGTTATTTACTAAACAATAGGATGCTCAATTCCTATAGACACAACCCAAAATCTGGTGGAAAGCCTCCCTAGAAGAATAAAGGTGGGCAGCCACAATGGTGAAAAGGGGTGATGGGAGAGAGGAGGGTCCATGGTACAAGCCATGTTTTGTTATAATCCACCTTTACTGAAATATAAATATAGTCCAACTTACAATTGATTCCTATTATGAATGGTCCACAGGTCTTCTGTAAAGTATTGCTCCCATTGATGAAAACTGTGCATTTAGTGTCAAAGATGAAGTCTTCCATATTGATTTTGCAGGTGTACTCATTTTTACCACCTGATGGAATCAGTTCACTGGTCTCATTGTTCAACTCTTCAAATGTCCTAAAAAACAAACCATATAAATATAAGCCAATCGTAAATATTTTGCATTCTGAATATTTTAGTAGGAAAGCTTTAGCTGGGATATAAACTAAAGGAAATGCGCTGAGAAATCTTTGTTGCGTATAGCAACTAATCAGGATTTACTTTTCATTATGCCTACAAACGATAAAAGGTACTGGGTTTTGACACATTGGGTAATGTGAGCACACAGGACACATCATTGTATGGGATTATATCTCAAAGATATTTTACAACATTCTGGTGAACATTAGTGAAGCACTCCTTTTTCTACACTTGGATCTGGAAGAAGGTTGTAACAGGTCCTAACGCATACGCTTCATCTGGAGATGGGCAGATGGCTTACTGCACTTTTACTGTAATGGCCATATAAACTGTTGGACTGGTTGACGAGACTATAGGAACTGTATATGCTAATGTATGTCTGTATATAACAGACTAATTGCCATATTATTGCAGGTAAAGATTGTTTCTAGTCTTTAGCTTATAGTTGTAATTACTTGCAACATCTTAATGAGAACCTGACACCATAGGTTACTGTATTATATAGTTACATAGTAACATAGTTAGTCACTTTGAAAAGAGACACAAGTCCATCGAGTTCAATTTATAGGGATTATATTGGTCAAATATTTACTAAAACCCTGTCACCACTTCAGACTTTTTAACCTTAGTACAGCAAGGAAAATGTGAAAAGAGTACTCACCATTCATGGTGTTACTGGACTAGGGTATTAAAGATGACTCTTCCCCTGGACTGGCTGACCACCACTCCACTACCCATCACTTAACATAAAACCAGCATGAGACACAAATTGGATTTTATTGACCAAAATATCCCTTTTGCTTAACAAAATATATAAATAACAGAGTATAAACAAATACACTATAAATGGAGCCTAAGGTCCTTCTGAGGAACGTTATGCAAACTCAGTATCTGCAGAAACCCATACGATAGGCCTAAAGCTACACAACATTGACTCAGAGAAAATTGCACCATTCATCACAGATACAACCATAAATAACCTCCAGTTCACTGGCACTCGACCATACATAAAAATGGGCACCTTTTTATATAGAGAACATAAAGACTTCCCTCGACCATGCCACCCTCTCTATTAGCAGGACATGTGCTGTACAATGCCAGCTAGAGGACGAGGCTAGAGAATGACATAATAAAAAAAACAAAATGTGCAAAAACAGGTAGCTTGTACAAAAGAAGAGGTAAGTGTTGATTCCAGCTTAAACTAAACAGAGGCTCTAGCTATGACAAGAACTGTATCTAAGCAAAGTACACCTAGCAGCATGGATGGTGAGTACTTTTCTTGTATTTTTCAATACTGTACTTAGCTTAAAAAGTATCAGGTGGTAACTGGGTCTCTTTAAAACCAACAACATCAGGGTTAAAAATAGTAGTAAATAAAACGCACAAATTACTTCCTGACTACTGTTTTTAACTATTTTTACTGTAAAACTCTACATGGTCTCTGGCACTCTGCACAGTCCATAATACCATGCAATGATGGCGTGGGGACTCAGATGACTGATCAACAATGTCTTCTACAAAATAAGCAATTGTGCACATCATACCATGATGATTAATAAGGCTAAGAGCAACGTAAAAGTGACATTAAGCCAAAACAGCTGTGTGCAGAAATGTGACAATTTTTCTTTATTACCTTCGACATGATACATGACAGTCTTGTGTGTTAGTTGTTTTTTGACTACAGGATATAACATAAACTCCAATAACCTCAGACACAACAGAGGTTCTACTTGCCAACACAGATAATAGTAGGCAGGCAAAGCATGATGTCTGCTCTTTAGCAAGTATTTATTTTATTTAGGATACAGCAAGGAAGATTTTAAACCTCTACCAGGCTTTTGTTGTAGTCTGTATCTCTAGGAGTGACTTCCCCTCACTACCTGCTTCAGTGACAAGTGGTCATAATGTAAAATCTCTGCAACAGGAGCAAAGACAGCAATAGAAATGCATACCTCCTAACTATCTGAGATGAGAAAGAGGGACACCTTCCAGCACAATGTATTCAGGCAATGGACACACCACCTTGTCACGGCACCAGTTATGTGGACTAAGAATATATATGCCAAAAATGATTGGTTAAACCAATAAGTGTTTTTGTTTTCACCATTACTTTTCATTCATGCTAGTTTTTGAAAATAGAAAACAAGATAATTAAGAGATAAGATAAAGGTTTTAGTGCAGTATTGGTAGTTAAATAGAATATTTTCCATCGATATCTGTCCATCAGGCCAAAAACATGGACAATTGAGGAGGAAAGATGGACAGAGGGATTTTCTTCCAAATGAGGGACGGTTGGAAGGTAAATCTGGTAAATGGTTTACAACATCTGTAAATTTTTTAGAGATCCATTATGATCCTTGCATATGTTTTAAAACCCTTGCATATGTCAAACCCCCGAAGGAAAAATACATCAGCATAATTAGTATTGAAAGCCCCTGGTGCCCCTAATGGAAAGGAGCTTTGACTGCTGGAAGCATGACTTAGTAAGTAAGCCTTGACACAGTAAGTAAACCTAACACAGGAAAGTTTAAAGTACCGTAGCTCCGTTGTGATTGCCTACTGTCACATAAGGGATTAAGGCAAAGCAGAATTTCTGTAAAGTCTATGCTGAGGCAAGCAACAAGTGACTAGAAGATCTTCAGCCTCAAAAGAAGTTACCTGCCCAAGATGGTCGTCACAGTTTTATTGGCGGTCTGACCCTGCCAGGGAAAGAATGTTAATTTAATGGGCTATGCCCTCAAGTTAAAGTTTGGGTCAGTCTAAGCCTGTCGGGCAGTAATGGTAAGGACAGGCCCTTTCATTAGACTATTTCAGGTGTGCTCACTAGTATAGCTGTGGCACAGGCTATTCCAGTAAAGCTGAGGCCTTGCCCAACTGTTGTATCGATGTCCGTGTCATCTTTGGTCAAGGTTAAATATTACATGACGATGTGGTCTAGGCCTATATTTCTCAACAGTCATGTATAAGGATAAGGTGGAGTAGCCTTCGTCTCACCCTTGGGCCCAGTAGCATCTTCATTTCCATGGAGAAAGATCTGCCACTGGTTATACCAGTGCTACCCAAAGAAAAGAAGAAATAAGGCAAAACAGCACTGGTATTTTCATGTCAAAGAAAGTGGGGAGCATATATATAAGTTAGGATTTCAGGTAACCACAAATCTCTGACAAATAGGCCGGAGAAAATAAACATTCTTCTTACCATACTACATTCATTGAATATAAAGTGATTTGGTTGTTGGTTCCATCTTCGTCTTTGGCATATTTACAGGTCAAAGTGTCTATGTAATCCACATAACAAAGGAGACCTTTGCAACCTGCAACTGCAAAATCAAGAGATACAAACAAGCATTCTTAGAAGTTCTGGAAAAAAATTATGCAAATGTACTATAAGATATTTAAGACCAACTCTATCCAAACCTTTTTTTTTTTTTTTAGAAAGTCAAGAAGGGCTAAAGCATCTGTAAATTGTTTATTGTTGTTTGTGTCTCCATTAAAGCCCCATCTCAGGATAAGTTTGCACTGCGATCTAACCCATGTCACAAGGATATTTTGTTTCTTACCAGTTAAAGCAAGTTATCCCCCCCAAAAGTCCCCTGTCCGGATCGCCCACCACTGCTTCCGGGTGAGGGGGACCGCTAATTCAGCACTGCAGATGCGCATAAGACCGCTAATCCCCTACTGTCCCCTTGTGTGATGTCACTGCTCTGGATATTAAGAGGACCCTGCCACTTGACAGCCAATGGGAAGTGTCCTCCTGAAGAAGGACCCCACAGGAAGTAAACAAAGGAAGAGAGAAGACTTGGGATCTGAGCGTCACATGACCGTGGATTTAGGTAAGTTAAATGGGCTTTTTAGGTTGTTTTTTTTTTCATCTTGTGATCAGTTAGAGAGGGATGGGAGGGGAATGTAAATTATTCTGCAGTTGAGATTTCCTTTCTTTTTCTATCCCAATGGCGAAGAGTTACCGGGACAGGAACTGATAGGAAATCTCTCAAATGGAGCAGAGGCAACACCAAAACGACCTATAGTATTGTAAGAGGAGTATAGAAACTCTGTAAATTTTTTGTTGCTGTCTAAGTCTACCAGTCCCTGGAGAGAGTGCAGAGAAGGGCAACTAAATCAATACGGGACATAGAGGACTTCAGTTATGTGGTAAGATTAACTGAACTGAAGTTTTCCCTGTTGCAAAGAGGAGTTTAAGGACCATAAACACTTGCCACATGAGTAAGCGGGCAAAAAGCACCTGTCAAGCTCCTGTCAAGCTTGCGGTGCAGGGGTGTAGAATTTCTATTGCCCGGGACATGCAGTGCTGGGCTCTAGGGTGGTTGTTTTTTTTCTACATTTAGATCTACTTTGGGCAAGCAGGGCTATATGAACACCGGGGAAGCTGCCGCTCATTATATACAAGAACACTTAGCGTCTTTACAGCCGTCCAGATCACTTGTAATTAGCCCCCTGCCACCCCCCATGGCGCAACCCACCTCCACTGCCCCTCCCTCCATGGCCCACCCCCCTCCGGCTGCCTTTTTCCGTGCTGGCCACCTTCCTCCCACTGTGGTTTTCAGTGTCCCCCGCTCTTCCTGGAGATCCATGAACACGGCAAATTACATTAGGATGGAGAGCGCGGACCAGACCAGAGAGCATCTGCTCTCCGGTCTGCTCCATGTTAACAGTGAGGCAGGAAGGCTGTATTCACTGCACAGCACTGTATTGGAGGTGACAGGTTCCATAAAGAGAGCCTGTCACCTCCAAACGCTATCGCACAGGGGCTTGTTAGCTCCGGTGTAATAGCTATAAAGTTAAATGGGGGAACGAAAGTGAAAAAAGTATAAAATAAAATAAAAATAAAAAATTATAAAAAAGTGAAAGATAATAAGCCAACCACGTCACTGGCTTCTGATTGCCCAAAGAATACAATTAGAAATATAAACAAGATCATACAGTCAATATATTACCTAAACTATCTTCTCCGCTTCTCCCAAAACCTCCTGCTCTCTAGCTCCCTCGTTATCTCCTCCCATGCTCGCCTCCAGGTCTTCTTCAAAGCCTCTACCATCCTCTGGAACTCCCTACCCCATTCTGTCTGGCTATCTTATACTTTGTCTGCCTTTAGGCAGCCCATGAATCCTATCTCTTCAGGGAAGCATGCCTTGCCTCTACCTAAATACTGAACTTTTTAGTTTCTCAAACAGCTCTTCCACCACAGAGCTAACACCTTTTCTATCACGTTCCCCTCCCTTTTAATTGTAAGCTCTCATGGGCAGGGCCCTCCTAACAATCTTTTGTTGAATTGTATTGTAACTGTACTGTCTTCCTTTATATGAGGGGTAGCCAAACTCCGGCCCTCCAGCTGTGGTGAAACTACAAATCCCATGATGCATCTCTCTCCGGGAGTCATGTCTGTGGTTGTGAGACTCTTGCAATGCCTCATGGGATTTGTAGTTCCACCACAGCTGGAGGGCCGAGGTTTAGCTACCCCTGATATAAAGGAATATAGTACAGTTACAATACAATACAAGACTACTCCTGAAACCCCAGGCTGCCCCTGCGTTATATTGTAAAGCGCTGCACAAACTGTTTGTGCTATATAGAATCGGTATCATAATAATATTAATAATAATAATAGTTATAATAGACATGTAACATATAAACATTCTATTACACGTGTTCTTTTATTGCCGTTTATTGTTACAGTGGTAAACTTTCTAAAATTTCAATAAATAAAAATGAGTAGATGCCACCATGTGGAATCCACCACTGGCTTGCTTTTTCGCCTGGTGCAGCCATTATGTGAGGGTCCCTCTCTTCATATTGGATGTCATGTATTTTTAAAATCAGGACTGCAGCAGACGAAGCAAGACTCCACCAAAGTGGGTGCAGAGGCAGCCAATCTGGCAGCAAAACAATGCCACCGAAGTCCAAAAATGATACGAGAAGCCCATGACTGGTGGTTGTGGATGGACAGGACCTTTAAGTACTTTAACAGCGATGAATGAATTCACACAGAAAAATACGAGTTTGACTTGATGAGTGGTAATGAGTAATTTCTGTGAAAAATGTATTGCCCGTCAGTATCTGAGTCAGCACAGGTTTTTGTGCAGAGGTTTTGTCTTGATGTGGCTTTAAGGGGAAAAAAAAACTAGAGTGTAGGTGTGGTTAAAGTATCAGAACCCAAGTAACACCGCAATGAAAGCATAAAGTACGTAAAAGTGTACCTACCTGTCAGTGTTATGCTGCAGAAAGATAATAACAGGACTACTACTGCTTTACTTCTCCTCTTCATCTTTCTTAATACTGATGACCTTTCCTGTAACTAAAAGAAGGACCATTTGTTTTTCAATGCATCAAGTAAATAAAAAACAAATTGCAAAAAAAAAATAAAAAATTAAAGGTTAACTCTAACAGGAGATAACAGACCCATACAAAATCCTATGAGAAATCTGTTACCTGAACTGGATTTAGGGTGCATTTACACCCAAATTGGAAGATACTCGCAGGTCCATAGAGGGTCTGTTGACCTGCGATTGTACCTTCCGATTTCCGTGCAATCAGTTAAATTTTTTTGCCGTTTTCTTTTTTTTTTTTACTTTTTGGGCAAGCTTTATGTGAAGTTCAGAGCCTGTCCAGAGTGGACATACTTCACTGTAAACTTGTTTTTGCAACGTTGCACTGAAAAAAGTAGAGCATGCTCTATTTAATTATCTGCGCTATAAATAGCAACGCAACGCACCGGTGTGTACTGTCCCATTCACACCCATTCATTTTTCGTTGCCCTTGCATTACCACATGTTAGAAAACAGATTGTAACGCAATGCAACAGATCCAGCTTGAATGGGCCCTTATGCAATCCACCTAAATGTACATCAAGTGATCGCTCTGACTATAGTAATGCTGCATTGTTAAAGTATATGTAAACTCAATCAGAAAAATCCTATGTAAGTTTTAACAGGTTATTGTAGTTGTAATTTCAGAAGTAATCAGAATTAAGAAGTAATTCTGTAAGAAGTAAATACGTTAGAAGTCATTGGAAAGTAAGTTAATGTAATTTCTTAACATGAAACATGGCCAAATCAGATCGGCGAATGTCAAGTGTGCATCACACTGGCACCAAAAAATGTTAGACGTTTATTAGATTCTTCCTGTTATAGAGTGGCAACACTTTGTTCCTGTCTCCTAGTTTCTCTCCTGTGTTGTCACCCTTGTATCCTGTACTTCTGGTGAAGATGATAAGTGACCATGCCAAGCTCATTTCTCAGGCATGTTTTCTCAGTCAGGAATCAAGGTGTCCATCTTAACCAATGACATGCAGCTGTTCCTGGACCACATGCATGTAGAAAGTGGCTGCATGCTATAGGCAGTACTAAAGGCTATAGACAAAAAGACTAAAAAGGTAATCACATTTTTCTGGAATAAAATGGAAACTGTTCTAGTGTTCTCCCCTCCTTAGCCTGTCAAGGATACACAGTTCACTTGAGGTCCCAAATCACTTACAACCCACCAGTGGCCGAGACATTGACTTCCACGCTGGAGATCTTTGCTTGCAGTATCTTTATACAAGAACTTGGGAGAGAGGGTTAGGGCACAGGACACCCATGATCTTGCAGACTCCAAAAATAGAGAACAAAGTACTTACAGCTTTCACAGATAAAGAACTTTCAAGCCAACATGGCAGTCTATGAATTCAGCTCCTGGTACTAGATGTTGCAGCTAACAACTCCTTGGAGAGAAATCACCATACTTCAGTAAAGGACCAAGCTTCCCAGGCTCCTTATTCAGGCTGACGTTACTCCATGGCATCTCTATACCCTGGCTTCACATACTAGGCCTCAGTCCAAGCACCCTCCTCAGGCACCAGGCCTAGGAGGATATTTATACCCTCTCCCAGCATGCACCACTAGTAACATACCTCCTAGTAGTTGGCCAGGGAGGTATAAACATTCCTGAGTCTGGTGTATTATAATGTCCTGCCCATAATTTGATAAAGCCATGCAACAATTTTCTTGCTATTGTGCAAAAATAAAAACAGTTTTTATGTGTGACACTTTTACCTTCTGGCTCTATGGCTGCAAAAAATGTGTTAGGAAATATAATCTTATTGGTGATAAGAAACAATAACTCTTCCATGTTGGAGTAAATTTGTATGAAACAATTATGCAGATTCATGTATACCTTCCTGTCAGTTACATGGATCTGTTGTAAGTTGCATCATGTGTTGAACAGATGAGAGACGGGTTTCTAATGAGTGTCTATACACTCAATATGCAGCTAGAAGTTTTCATCTTCAAAGATATAAGGGAATGGAAGGCATGCCAGAGCAATGACTTCAGAGCTGGAAGTTAACATTTTGCAGCAAAAGGGGTCCCAAACCAATGACCCCAAGCCTTCTTATAAGAAAATAATGGAGCTATTTTATATGAGAAATATTTTTTGAAGTCCTTGGTGCAGGACACCATTCGCCACAATGTGTTCTAGATAACCCTGTGGATGCTAGTGGGTTGGTGACTACAGTACTTTGTTTGGTGTGCACGCTTTGATTCAGTGCTGAGAGTTAACATCTGCATACTAAGTGTGGCAAGTTTGCTGTGCAAGATAAGTTCCTAGAAAACATTTAATACATTGTTCTTAGATGTGGTGGCTACATTAGTTTTCTTTTTAAAGGAGAACTATGAGGTGAGTGATTTCCACTCATCATGGCGTATATCATGGGCAATAGCTCGCTATATACTGAGCTTTGGGTCATGGTAGGAGGTTAGTATATGTCCTCCTGTGACCCTAAAGAGAACTATGGGGAAAAACACTTACCCCATAGTTCTCTTTAGAGGGGTTTTTTTTCTTATTGATCCTACAATAACACATATGCTGTCCTAGGGGGGCTCATTAGACTTATTTCATGTAGGAAGCCACGGTTGTCACCTAGGCTGCTCTCCTGATTTGAACTACAAACAAATCTTTCTTTCTTCATCTCCATGACATGATGGGTGGAGGGATTAGTAGTTTAGAGAAGATAGCTTGGGAGGAATATAAATATATGCATTTTTCTGTACTTGCTGAAAATATATCTGAATAAAAGGAAACTAATGCAGCCACAAAATCTAAGGACTGTTAAGCTGCAATATATATATTTTTTGTTCTTGGGTTTCGGTATCCTTCAACTTCTTACGTCAATTTTATGACTATTAACAGATGATCGGTTTACACAAAGGCCAGCAAAAACCTTTGTTTAGAATACGGTGGGGAAGTGTTGTTAACAAGAGCCCCGTCACTTCCTTTACTGGAGAAACCAAGTCAAACCATGACACACAGGGTGTCACAAGGGCAGGAAGTGAAGGGAGATGCATGCAATATGAACCACACGGCTCCAGCTCTAATCCGCTCCGCGGCCAAGCGGTGCAGGAGGAGAACGCTGTGAGTGGCTGGCGTATCTCCTCCGCGCACTGCTCAGCCTCCAGCACTCCAGGTAGCCCAGTGGTTCACTGATGTCACACAGCTCCCGGAAGCACCCCAAGAGGTCATTGATGTCCGCCTGCCTGGCCACCTTGTAGATCATAGCAGCCACAGCATAGACGCCCAGGTCCCCTGGTCCTGCTTCCGGTCATTGGAAAAAAAATATTCTCCTTTTCATGTGGTTCGCTAGACAGTGAACCCTGCACCCTCTGAATAAAGTG